TCCGGGTTTCCCGCTCATTTCCTCTCTCTCTGCATCCGTTCACGCTTACAGGGTCACAGTCTAATCGAGTTAAGTAGGGACTCGGATCCGGGAATAAAAGGAGGGATATGCAGTACAAGCCCCTCACATCTTCAATAATGCCATAGTAGTCCCTTACATCTCAACAATTGCTCATTACTCCCTCAAATCCTAAGGGGTGTTGCAATTGGGTCCCTCAAGAACCAAACTGCCCCTTAGTTATGATTTCTCTCTTAAAACCCATCTTTTCTCAAAAAAGATTATTTCCACTTTGGTATTATAAAGTTTACACCTTGTTAATTTTAATACCACAAATTTTTTCACACTTTCATACCCTAAAATTTACATCTTTTTAAACTTAGATACCTTAAAGTTTTTACTAACACTTTTGTTACGAATAAAGTTTATGCCTTTTTCATACCCAAAGTTTTGTATTTTGACACTTTGATACCCCAAACTTTAGGGCATCAAAGTTAAAATGTGCAAAGTTTGAGGTATCACAGTTAAACATGTGGAATCTTTGGGTCTGAAAGTTAAAAAAAAAAAATATATGTGAATTGTAGGGGTATCAAGGTGTTATAAAAATATTTGGGGTATCAAAGCTAAAAAATACAAAGTTTAGGGTATCAAAATGTCAAAAAAAAACTCTAGGGTTCAAAGTTTAAAAAGTTCAAAACTTTAGAGCGTCAAATTGTAAATAGCCCTTCAAAAAACATTAGTAAAAGGCATTTTGGTCATTGACTGATCAAATTGTAATAACACTAGAATTTGAGAGACTAATGAGCAGTTGTTGAGATTTGAGAGACTCGCATGGAATTACTGAATATTTGAGGACCTAAGACTAAATAACCCTTAACTGGTCAGGTTTTCTCCGAACCCGACCCGCCCGCAAAAGTTAGATAACATTTCAAATAAAGGGCTTTTGCGATATTATTCCCTAGATTTTTTTTTTTTTTAATACTTCGAAATTAGTCTCTCAAATCACATTGAAATTGATATTAGGTTCTCTGGTCTTTTATCCTGATACTGCTACTTTTAATTAAAGAGACTTATTTCATTAACTTATAAGAACTGGGGAATCTTATGGGGAATAAGGGACCTGATATCAATTTCAATACGTTTAGGGATTAATTTCGAAACACGAAATGTTTAAGGGATTAATATTGGAAAAGAAGCACCCCTTCAATCATTGATTATTATAATAATGGTGAGCTGGTCGTATTCCGTTAATTCTCTGTAGTTGTTCCTCTGATTTTTCTTCAGTGGTTAGGTTTTTCGCTGTGTTGCTACCATTTGAAAATTGCTTTAAACTATAACCTCTAATATATTCCCTAAAGATGTTGCAAAAAAAAAAGCAATATTTCTCTCTGAATTACCGCTCTCTCTAGTGAAATGCTTTCCTTTTTCTACAGTAATAGATGGACCACGGATTCAATTATAACAATCTATTCATATTCGAACAACTATAAATAACTCCAAATACAAAACTTTCAACTTCATTTATATTCATTCTTATTTTTCATTCAAGAAAAAATAGCAGCACTCCACTAATAAAAATACTTAGTAATTTCTTTGCTTTTGAGGTTAAAATCCTCAATGAATTAGGCAAGGAATGCAAGGTAACCACGCAACAAAATTTATACCAAGACGCAGAGAAACTGCCCGGGAAGCAAGATAAAAATAAAAGAATCATATGCGTTAGAATCTAAACTTTCAGAACACAATATGAAACATCAAACTACTCATCTAAAGCTTCTACTATAAGCATAATATAACAAAAAAGCATTAGGCAATAAGTACAAGATAATCATACACTAAAATTTTTGTAACAAGGTGTGAGGAAGCCGCCAACAAAGAAATATATGTTCACAATGGATATGAAGCTCAGTTCTACAAACAACTTCAGAGCCAATAATAGGAGATTATATGTAAACCTTCGAACTTTATATGTAAACCTTCGTACTTGGTAGTAATTCCACAAAGTTATGTATAGCCCTGAAGAGTTTGATGGGACAGGATCAACAAAACTTAGACTTGAGCCAAAAACAAGGAGACTGTATGGTAACCTTCTAGCTCTTAATTGCACAAACAGCTGCAGATCCTTCAAGAGTATCGAGGGGTAAAGATGAGCACGGCTTGACTTTTCAGTTCATGCTCATATTCGTTCAAGCCATCTGCACAGAAACAAGAGAAGATCAGCAACACAATCTCGGTGCCCGAAACATTTGGAGTATATTTGCCATACAAGTTTACCCATCCTCCAGTGAGCAAGATATAGGGAGGAAGTCACCAGTTGAGATGAAAACATTTTGTTTCCCAGCTTTCGCCTGTTTCACAACAAGACAACTACTTAATGAAGATGCTAAAAGAACAAAGACTGTTGCATGGTTGCAATCTTTCGTTTCTGCTACTCAGAACGATATTGTACGCAAAGATTCATAAATAAGTTCAAAAACACGAACACATGGCAGAAAGGAGTATTTTCTGGTACTCTGTGATAAGAACATATTTGTGAGAGGTACAAAACCTTAGAAATTCATAACTAATGATTTCTAATACATCGTGTTCAACACCTAAATTTTGCAATGGTTGCAAAACCTTATTGTAAAGTAAAGAGAAACGGATATTGTGTATGGAAAAGACTACAGATTTGAAAATCGTAACATCTTGAACAAAATGGAAAGACAACATTTCCTACCACCAACAGAATAGAGATTATTATGTAACCGTGAAACTTGCAAGCATGTGCTACTGTTATTCCAAAAATATACATACTAAACAACCATTTACAAACTTGAAACAATAATACAGGGGTGAAATTACCTTTGTTCTGTAAATAATTTACTTGAAAAAAACCATTACTGGCCTGTCGAAACCAGCAACGGTACCAGATAAGCTGTCTGTAACAGTCTCAGCCGACCTGAACCCAACCTATAGAAACTAAAATATCAGTGCAGTATTGATAAGAAACCAACACAATCTATAATTGAAAAGTGACTTAAACTGCAATACTCTTCATCAACCTACTGCAAATAACTTTTACCTTGTCCAGAAGTAGTTCTCGGAAACGATGTGGTTGTATTAAAATACTATTAAAATTCATCTTAGCAGTCTGCAAAAATCAGAATATGGCAACTCAGCATATATATACTAAATATTGTTAAAAAAATTAAATCAAATTCAAACATTGATCACCATAGATGTGCTATTTCAAGTGTTGGACTTATGATTCTCAAGTTAATGATTTTAGAGAAGAATCCGCCATTAGCAAATTAACAGATAGATTTTGCAAGAATAAAGATGTGAAGTATAGTAGCTGGGCTAACAGAAACAATAAAAGAAAGAAATAGTTACCTCTGACACTAGTCGATTTTTTCTATATGATGACCAAGGTTGAGGCTCCAACACAAACACTCCACCCTAGGAAAACATAAATAAATAAATATACTAGACATGAATTCTAACAAAGCATATTTTACTATATTAAACTTCAGAAATACCAGACGTAGAAGTCTCCAAATCTTCACAAACAATTTAATCAACCCATCGTCGCCCCAGTTTAAATGTATCCACTTTGACACACTCAGGCTGCATATGAATATGAAATGATTTAGCTACCATATCAAAACCAGTCCTAAAGATAGGAAAGGTTCCAACTAGCATTACATGATCCATGAATAAGGGACATATATATGGTCACAAATCAAACATTTATACAAAGCCATATCTATTCCAGAACGCTAATTAAACTTACCAGAGAATTGTATCATACTTCTCTGAGCAGTCATGCAAATTCTCCACAAAATTTTCATTTTTAAATGAAACTATGTTGAGTAAATTTCCTTCTCTCGAAGTGGGAGCATTAGCCACAGGATTGCATGATTCATCATTTGAAACCTGGGAAGCCACATGAACTGAACAGTCAGCACTACTGGGAACCTGCGATTTAGAACTTTTCTCACATTTGCTTTTAGGGCATCCCATTCTAGCTATCTTCCGCAGGTTCCAATGAGCACTTTTAACTAAACCTGTGAAACAAAACAATTAAAATTGTTAAATAAACAGTATTGATTAAGCAAGCATTTATACCAGCAGTAGCAGTTCTTTAGCATTTTATAGCATATTACATCCAAAGATATCAAATATTAATAAAATGTCACCTCGAGCTGCCAATGAACCATTGTTACTCAAGTGTATAGTACACAGATTGGTGAGTGAATGTAGATCTTTTTACTGTGTGAGTAGTAGATAAACTCATGTGAGGTGCTCATGATGTTGTAGAAATTCTAAGATATGCATGTTGCTCACACTTACTTTTGATGACTTAACAGAGTACTACATTCAGAGTGTTACACATGCACGCATGATAATTTTTAGGCAACTTGTTTACACTAAGTTTTGGTTACATGAGGACTTACTTTCATTACAGGATTCATACTTAAATATGGAACATCCTAAATCCTAACCGGGCCCACCCCATACCCATCACGGACCCATATGAAATGTGCATGTATGTCCTAACAAGTCCTTTGACCTGGTGGACACAAACAATGTACACCCAACCCAAGAATGTACACCCCACCCCAACTTGAAGCGGACCCATTTATAAAGGGCACGGTCAGCATCCAAAAATGCTACCTGGGAGGGGTCAGGTCCATATGTTCAAGTCCAAGTATAGTAGTATTGGAACACATCAGTTATCACTTATCAGCTTCAAATAATGCATATAAACATTTCAACAGATTTCACTCGGGATTTCCAAATCCAAGACCAAAACTCATTGATTTTGAATATAAGAGAACTGAAGGTGCTCATTGCAAACAACTAATCCTTTTTCTAGATTGGTGGTTGTCCCTCTCTATTTTATGCTCTTCCAGGATTGGCTACGAGAAATTGACTTCCTCCTACTGTGTTTCCCCTCTCTTATCTATCTCAATCTTCTCTTCTTCTTCCCCATCTGGTTGTTGCTCATATCGGATAGTTTCAATCAGCTTCAGCCCAAAAACCTCTGAACAAAAAAAATATTGACAATATTTTTCTCGATCACCTGACCCAAGAACCAACATCAAGTCCTAGATCGCTTGTTCAAGTTTCAATTGGATAGTGAGATGCATATCAGCATCTGCAATATATTAGCAGTGTTTTAAGAAAAATGCCCGGTAGCAGTAAAGAATAAGGAATTGATAGGTGAAGTTCAAGAAAACCTAAAAGCTAAGACCCGCTCTTTGTTTCCTTTAGAGCCCATTTTTGTTTCCTCCCCTTAAAACTTCCTTTATAATAAATTCTACTAGAAAGCACTCTTTATCTGTTTTAGAGAGAAATAAGGTTTCTTTGAAATCTAAGGTTGCTTGTTGCTACTTACTGATTGCCTGAGACTAAACTAAACTTTCATGTCCATTTGAATCTCCGCCTGAAATCAACAGGCACTATATCCTTGTAAAATCCAATACATTTTAGGGAGAAAACTTCAATGTCAGCCAACTCTTCAGTATGCACCTATCAGCATCCTTCTAGGCTTAGTTGACCGAACCCTTGAAATGTCCATCTTTTCACCACAGAGAAACCACAGCGTTCCAATCCCCTTCATCTCTAACGAGCTTGTATCATTGTTATAGCTGAAACTTTTTTGAGCCAACCATTGTATGGATTTCATTGATTAATTAATTCAGAAGCTCCCTTTGAACTTTTTTTTGGAAAACCCAGCCCGGAATCAAATCTAAGACCGTGGGAGACATATTGGAACCTCCTAACCATCCGGGTCACCCGTTGTGGGTTCCAGCTCCCTTTGAACTTGGATTAGTAGGTTCAGGTTAGAAAAATAATACATAGCTAAATAGATGCACCAGAACTAAAGTTTATTCTCTCATCTTTTCTAATTTAATTAACAAATATGTGCATTTCCTGTAATACCTTGCTTGTGACAGAAATAGAAATGTGATCTTCTAAATACTTCTAATTCGAGTATTTTCTCCTGGAGAATATCTAAAGCCATACAAGCATCCATCTGATCTATTGTTTAAAGGAAGAAAAAAAAAGTATGAAGAACAGCCAGTCTTTCTAGGAATACAAATTAGTTGGCATCCCCAACCACCACACCACCCCCACCCCCCAACAAAAAAAACAAAAAAACAAAACAAAACAGCAAGAAATAAGAAACTGAAAGTCAAAAGTACTTTGGAGAAAATAACACCAAAGTGGAAGTGTAAATGTCACCCCACCGAAATAAAAAAACGAGTGAACAAAACATATAGGGTTAATTGCGAATAGACCCCCTGTAGTATCACGCAATTGGAAAAAAAAAAGCTTGTAGTTCTATTTGTGGTGAATAGAACACTTGCAGTATTGGCCCAGGTGCGAATACATCCCTTAGTGAATTCGCTTCGTTTAAAGGTAAAAAAAATTAGTAACTGAGGATCTATCCTCATGAATAGAACTGTAGTGTAGGGGTCTATCTGCCTCATCAAACCTTTTTAAAGATGTTAGGAGTCAAAAAATTCACTCAAGGGGGTCTATTCACAAAAAAAGAACTGCAGGGGGTCTATTCACAATTTGGTGATACTACACGGGGTCTGTTCGCAATTAAGTGATTAACACAAAAATATAAATTCCAAGCAAGCTCACCTGCGTCTATGTCTATTCCGAGTATGCTTCGACAAAGAAATTTCTTTGCTGCATACGATCAAAGTAGAGAATCCATTAGATGAAAGCAAAATTAAAACATACTGTTAGAAAAAACCAACTTTGCCTCCAAAAATATGTTCTTCACCTGGTTATATAAGACAAATTAATGGTCCTTAGAAATAAATTTGTAAACTATTAATATTCCAATGTCCCTAACTCTTTATAAATATAATTATTGCTCGAAACAGTAATCATATTCACATTAGATATTCCACTAACCTGAGGTGTCTCATATCTCGTCCAGCAAATAGGCATATAATCCTATTCTTTCCAACAAGTGAATCACATTATCAAACACACACAAGAAAATACAAAAAAATTCGAGTCCTCAAACGAGTAATTCTCTTTAAGAAGAGCTAGGTTCCATTTCTTCAACCTTCTTCAAATCTCAATTCAATGTGATTTATAGCATAACCTAGGTTTGATACTTCCTAGGCATGCCATACACATTCCTTTCATTTATGCTGCTCTCATATTCTAGCTACTGCATGCTACAGTTCTTGCCACAGTTTTCTTTAGATAATTCCACGCGCATTACACATCACGATCCCCTTAATGGCTTAATCTTTCATTTCTTCATCCGTAAGGGGTTAAAGATTGCAATCCAACACTACTTTAAGACCCAGGTTTTCTTTTTCTTTTTTTCCCTTTTTTTCCTTTTTTACATTCAACAAATCACAAACTAAACTTTGCACTGTAAACGAACGAAGCTAAAAGTTCAGAATAGTACCGATGCTAATAGTTATCAACCCTTGGTTGCAGCCAATGTCGAGACAATCCCTTCCTTCAAACCATTCCCTCTTGAACACTGCAAGCCGAGGATCTTCCTCTTGATTACGATCAACCTGCATCCCAAGCAATGCTTCAGCAACTATGAGGAAAACTATTAACACTTGTGCGCAATCGAGATATTATACTAAATACCAATAATAAATTTCCCCAAAAGATCCAAAACCATAATTATATTCGAAGGTTGGTAAGAAAAACTGAATCGGGTTTCATCAGAGAGCAACGAAATCAAAACTGTCCTTGAAATCTTGAAAATTTCTCATCTCGCTTGAAGGGGGGAAAGGAAATCTACGGGAAACCCCTAAACCCCATCAATTAGCACGGTGTAATTCGAAAGAGTACGAAATAATGAAATGGGTTTCTTCAGAAAGTTGCAGAATCACGATTGGATTAGGAATTTCGAACTAGTACTCATGTGGGCTTATGGCGTTTGACGAAATGACTCGACGAGAATCTAAAGACAAGAGAGCTGCAGAGAGAGCAGAGATGAAATTTTACTCTGTAGCCGTAGTAGCTGTTGTAGTTGCCGTAAATAAAGGTCTTCTTGTTGTTTTTTCCGTCTCTTTTCCTCTTCTTTGTTTCCTCTTCTGTCTGCTTGGATTCGCCTCTTTCCATGATTTTCTCTTCCCAGTGGCGGCAAAAGGGGAAAAAACTGAGAAGAAGGGCGAATAACGGCGAAAGAAAAAGGCGGATTGACGATTTTATGGGAGTTGGGCCGAACTCAATCCGGTCCAGGCTTTGGGAGGTCTTTTGGGCAGAAAGCCTGACAAAAATGTTTTTTTGACAGGCTTTCTTTCCAACCCCCAATGCCAAATACATCAACCAAACAGTCCTTTAGGGGGTTTTCACGTTTCCTTCTGACATATATTCAATGATTTTATATTAGTCCCTCGGATCGTTGAAATTGCTCATAAATCCCGCAAACCTACGCATGTCTAACCGGGCTAGGCCGGACAAAACCCGTGACCCGGGCCCAGGCCCGATCTAACCTAACCCCGGGCTGGCTCGGTCATTTTCTTTCCTTCCTTTTTTCTTAAAATTTTATTTTTTGTTATAAAAAATTTTCAAAAGTAAATAACAATAAATTAAGCGAAATTTTGATAAAAAATCAATCATATTATTAATCACTTGTGATTATATAATTTACAAATACCAAAAATCATAGAAACTAAAATGATAAAAATAGATTTTTTATTAATAATCACTAACATTTACAAATTTATTTTGGAATTTGTCGCATCATAATAAATGAATACATCTCAACTAGGTTGGTATCTACTCATCTATATCACCATCATTTGCAACTCTTTTTAAAATAATTTATCACAAATTTACAACTAAGAAATAAAATTATAAAGTAATGAGTATTCCTACAAATCTACTTTTTATCTCTATCTTTTATTGTCAACTCATCAAGTTTATCTTTAATACTAGCCATCCGATCGATGTCTTGAGTTCTCTTCTCATACCTTCACCAATCTTGTAGGCACATTACTGTAAAACCCTGTAATACTGAATGTTGTGAGATATAATAATAAACATGTTATATTATGATAAATAACGTTTATTGATATTTGAGTATGCTAGGAATTGATTTGATATCAATCTGATACATATATATATATATGAATATATGAGTGCAAATGCACAAAACATGCACGAGAAAAAATCTGGGAAAAATGACCAGTTAAGAGTTTATAGATTTTACACAACGATACACTTAGAATCTGGGAAAACTCAAAATACCAAAGTTGTAGGTATTTTCAACAGCTTTCCAATAAATCTTATATCACCTCATTCCGAGCTCGGACGCGAAAGTTATTGCCAAAATACCGAAGATTGTTTTTCTAGTCAGACTAGGTTTCCAGGTTCGGGTCAAATGGGTTTATTTGGGGTTTGCATATATATATACTTATGTTTTCACGAAAATTATCACCCTTATATCAGAGTTTCAAACCCTAGCAGACCCTATTCCTCTCTCTAAAGCCCTAACCCTAAAATTGAGAATTTTTGAGAGCTTTGTGAAGCAAATATCGACACAAAGGGCGAGATCATCGGCGTGTAGCAAGGAGGAAACGGGTTGTTTGCACTTCTAATTGCTTGTTGTTTATCTCAGAGGCTTAGAACGACATTTGAGGCAAGATTATCTTCATCCAAACATATCCTCATAGTTAAATAACTAGTGTAGATGATTAATATGATGTTAGGCAAGATTATCTTCATCCAAACATATCCTCATAGTTAAATAACTAGTGTAGATGATTAATATGATGTTGAATATGTGTTTTCATGCTTTAATGATTAATATGATGTTGAATATGTGTTTTCATGCTTTAATCTTAACCTGAGGTGTTAAAAGTCAAATTTTTGATAGTAAACCTTAAAACAAATGATAGATGAATAATCTTTTCTTGCTGTTTATGATAGTATCATAATCATGATCATGAGGGTTTTTCATAATTTCAGTCATATATGAGAAATTTAAGTGATGTACTATATATGTTTTTCTGCAGAAAACTGCACCACTTATATAATCTTTAATTAAGAGTTTAAGATAGAAAACAAAGTCCAAATTTAACCAAACTAGTTTTATATAAAATATATATGTATCTAGTTTCTAAAACAGAAAACTATTCTTAAAAAGAGTTTGTATAGAGAAAGATATGTTATATTTACTAATAACATGTCCTGCAGAAAAATGGCTGCACATATATAATGTTTAACTGGAGATTTGGGATAACAAATGAACTCCAAACTGAACCAAACTTATGTCATTTGAAATATGTGTGAATCTAGTTTTTAAAACAGAAAACCATTTATAAAAATAGTTTTCCTAGAGAAAGATATGTTTGTTTTACTAACAGATATCACGTCTGTTTTTCCTGCTCATTTTGTGGAGCTGTGTTGCGCCGTTTTGAGGTGCGTTCGCGGAGTTTTGAGCCGCTTGATGTTATACGTATAGTCATGAATATGTTATATTATACATTTAAGAATCCTAAGAGGATTATGATGAATTTTGATTTGATCATATTTGAATTGGATATAGTTCATATACATGTTGGATGTCGTTGATGAGCACAGCTTAGTACTATATGGGATAGTGCGTCGACACACCAGATATACACAGTTTATACATGAGGTGGATATCGTTAATGAGCTCAGTTCAGTACTACATAAGGTAGTGCATAGATATTCCACATGTACAGGCCATTGAGTCGGATTTTAGGAGGCTTGATCTAGCCGTCCGTCCCGCACTAGGGTGCGATGAGGCTCGTGAGCCGTATTTCTAGGATACCTATTTGGTAGTCCGTCCCACACTCATGTTATGCACTGAGATCGCGATGAGACTAATGAGCCGTGTACACAGTTCAGAATACCTACAGGGTAGTCCGTTGTACTGAGATAATTACTTGATAGCCTAAGTATGACAGATGCCGATTATAAATACGTTACTTTTAAAAGTATACAAAATTATGTGTTGGTATTTTATTCTATCTCTCTAGTGATAGTGGAAGATATTATAAATACGATGTGTTGATATCTTATTTCTTTTACTGTCTTTTTTTTACTTCTTAGTTGGGATCAATGATTAGAGATTCATAATTTGAGACTTATGGTATATACATGAGGGTTTCCTTGTTTGGATTATTTCGCTCGACGTACCAGTCTCGTGTTATGGATCTCTAATTATTGGTTTCAATAGATTGTTTATTCTTATTTCGCTATTAATGTTTAGATGTTTACGATTCGGGACATATGGTATATACATGAGGGTTTCCTTGTTTGGATTATTTCGCTCGACGTACCAGTCTCGTGTTATGGATTTCTAATTGTTGGTTTCATTAGATTGTCTTTTCTTAGTTCGGTATTAATGTTTAGATATCTATAATTTGAGACTTATGGTATATACACAGGGGTTTCCTTGTTTGGATTATTTCGCTCGACGTACTACGTCTCGTGTTGTAGGTTTCTAAATGTTAATCCTACTTAGATACGGGGAAAATAAATCTAGGTAGACTATGCTTAATAGATAGAGCCTTCACTCCATCTACTAGCCCTTTCCCTGGGGGCGGATGGAGGTAATCTTGTTGTAATGCTCTGACGCACTTGTTGTTATTCTTTTTCTTTTAAACTACTTTTTAAGTAGTTCGGAGTTTTGGAGAGCCGCAGGGTGATGGAGTTCTAGCATAGTCGCCGTTGCGTATTTTTACTTGTAGAGACTCCACTGTAGTTTTGAGTTTTATCCAGACATTAGAGTTTTATATTCATATTGTAAAGGCATTGTGCCTTAGTACGATTCTTAGTTGATTCATGTTGAGACATTTTTATTATTCAGATATCAGATGTATTATAGTTGAGACATGATTCTTTTCATTTATGAGATATCTCTTCTATATCATGCTATTACATTTATTCCCTTTATTTTTCCTGTTTGTACCTGCACTTCTATTTGGTTCTACTAAAGGATATTACTATGATTGGTGAAACATGTTTATGCACAGTGTGGGTGCATGACAGGTTTGACATCTCTGGTTTCACCTTGGACTGCAGCCTTGTGTGAACTCAGGGGCGTCACACCCAGGCTATCTTAACTCTCCTCCTTAGGAACTATAAAATACATTGAATGCAATAGCAGTAAATATATCTCTCGCTAACCCTGACAACCAAGTGTAAGAAAATAACAGTAAACTTAACATTCAAGCGATAAACTTAATAACCAAATATTAACCTTAACAGCCAAGCCATGACCTTAACACTTGTAACGATATACATGATAACAAATCCATACACATGACAATAAAATGCTAAACCATATAGACTTGTTACAAGTTGCACGATTGTAACCCTCCACGTTGCATCGAGAGCACTTAACAGGACGGGTATTCAGCGTCCAGTTGTTTATTCGTCTAGTGCATGGTCTTCCATGCCTTTTTTTTTTTTGAGAGGAGGCTTTAACAATCGATCTTTTGGCGGTACAAAGTGTTTTTTTATAATCTGGGATGGGAAAGATGATCGGTGCATAACTTGCTCTGAAGTCGTCAACAGTCATATACCAATCATAATATTGATAAATTTCTTGTCTCATCCATGTAATTGCAGCGCACGCGTGTTTGCAAGGAATGCAGGTGATGTCCTAGGACATGCATGAACATGCCCGATTCTTCAAATCTACATGGAAAGTTTTATTGGACTCGACCTTCACAATATCTTCCGTCGAATGTTTAATGACCAAGCAACTACCATGCTGAATATTTTCGTACAGCACTATCTCTGCTTCCGAGCATAAGTATCCAGACCATTGCTGACCCATTAGCCTCCTTTCATGCATGCGTTCCATTATTTGCTTCCGTATGGTCTCAACCAAAGGTGAGATTCGTAACAACCGTGCCTTTCTTATTCAGCTATTGAAAGACTCAGCAACGTTTGAAGTAACATGGTCATACATTAACAACAAAACCCTAACATTAACAATAAATCCATAAGCTAAACAATAAATCCCTAACATTAACAACAAAATTCTAACCTTTCATGCATGCGTTCCATTATTTGCTTCTGTATGGTCTCAACCAAAGGTGAGATTCGCAACAACCATGCCTTTCTTATCCGGCTAATGAAAGACTTAACAACGTTTAAAGTAACATGGTCATACATTAACAACAAAACCCTAACATTAACAATAAATCCATAACCT